GGAACCTTGACAGTTAGTGACGGAGGTTGTCTCACCTCCAGCCACGACGAGAGAAGGAGGGGAAGGAAGAACTCCCCTCTTCCCGAGAATGCCTTTTGTGTGTCGCAGAAGTCGCTATTGTCCCCCTACAAGATTACAGAAGATTAACCCATCACTCAAAATTCGTACAAAAGCAGCCGCTTCGGTGGCTGAAACGACTAGGCCATCCTCTCGACGTCAGCCTCGCCGTAGCTTTGCTCGTCCTGAGACGACCTACGTCACGATTGCGTTGGATGTCACGTGGTCTCCGCTGAACCTTCTCCGAGCGCTTGCCAGAGTGGACAGTTTATGACAAAAAATACAGCCACCAGGCTCAAATAGAAACGTGCGATTGTCATTTTACGGATATTGTAAATCATATTCAACGTATTTCTGAACACGACGGGAATATTTCAAATTTCGATGAAGTATCCCTTTAAAGGGGTTATGACACGAAAATTAAACAGATAGATTATTCTTGAAACGGAATGTTCAGAGGCTGCTTAGTATATACACTAAGTTACGCGATTTTCAGAGCTTAGGTGATTGCAATATTCAATTTACGAATTTTTATCATTTTCATCTGGCGACCAGGCAACACTGCCCAAGTTAGTCACACCATGGTGTCTATAAACCACGTGACCATGAACGCTCTCGTTCTAGGCGCCCCCATGATCGCCCAGGCTCCCCTCGCCGCCGGTACGATCAAAACCGCTCACGCAACTCAGCAACCGGAACCAGTGTTGCCAATTTAGCGCTTTTTCCGCTAAACTTAGCGGTTTTTGGTTCTGTTTAGCGGGAAAAATTATTGTTTTGCGGGCGGCGGGATTTTTAGCCGGTTTTATGTAACCTTGGCGGTTTTTTAGCGATATAGAAGTTATATCGATTTACTGTCAACTATGCACCTTTTATATCCATAATGATAAGAACAATAAGCCACAGTCGTCTTCGCTTACTCTCAGTCCTCTCAGTAGTGTTCTGGTTTGTGAGAGTAACGCCTGTGACGTCATCAAAACATTAGTCGAGTACGCTCAAAATTAGGGGTGTCGCGAACTTTTGTCGAACCAGATTTTTTGGTCGAACTTTTCGGGTTCGACTGGGTCGAACCGGTTCGACGAACCTTCGAACTTTTCACCAGATTCGACCGGTTCGACTTTGTTATGGTGCACTAGAACTGGGCAGTGTGTCGTCCGCGCCGAGAAGCAACGGAGGGAGGTGGTCGGCGCAGCGATGACGGCGCGCAAGGACGCCAGGGGGCGCTGCGGGTAACAGGCGTGCTCCTTCCCGCTCGGATTGCCGTGTGGTCGTACGCGTGGTTCGCGTCGTCGCCTTGTTTTGCTGCAGTTTTTTTTTTTTTTTTTAGTTTTTTTTTTTTTTAATGGTTGAGTGAAATGGATTGTGATCGGTGCCGTTCAGTGGGATGTAGACAACGCGAGCAATGACGGAAAAACGGCGGGACAAGAGAGACGGGACGTGTTTTGTGTCGGGGCAGTGATTTCCCTACATCCCTCCACGGGGGTGTACTCCCCCCTTGTTTTTCCGAAAGCACCCTTTTAATTCGCAACGACTCTTATAATCTCAATGCCCCCCAAACCCCCCCCCCCCCCCCCCCCTCCCCTCCCTAACCTCAATTCATGGGGCCCGTGCCGGGTTGCAACAGTGGCTACCGGTCCTGCAAAGAAGCCCGTTCCCTTTTTCGTGCCCCTCTCGAGTTCGATCGGCGTCCGTCGTCGTCCCGCAACATTAAAAGGAGTGACAGGGAGACTCTGCTTCATGTAATGCAGGCAGTCATAACAGTCGTCCTCTACTTTTTTTTTTTTTTTTTACTTTTTGCGCTTTAAAGTTTTTGCTAAATCGGTTTTATAGACACTGGTTTGGACACACCGAAGGATCCTGTGCACGCTGACTGCATTAGGGAGGCTTGGAGAAGTGACTGTGAAAATGTGACATTAAAGATTATGGCCTAACATCAGCAAATTATTTTTTTTTTCCTAACGGCTTTGAAAAGATGAGGGTTGGCCCAGCACTCCGTCTCTTCAATGAGGAGGTGCTAAGAGGCCTTTTTTTTACCGCAAGAAAATTGAAGGGTTTATGGCCCAGCGGAAGATACTGAGTCATTTGTCCTGAACATGTCGAAGCTCATCAAGATCATGACCTCACGTTGGAGGATGTAGAGGTACAAAACGCCATAGGCGCCGACGGGGGAGCTCGGGAGCCCCCCTCTCCCGAGCTCTTGGGAAAAGCAAGTACCATCGCCTCCGGAATCCTTGGGTGCACCTCATTAATCTCATCTGTGCGCTGGCGCCCAGTGTATAATTAAAAATTTATCTGTCTGCCCTGGTGCCGACACATATCAATATAGCTGGTGCTCAGTGGATAAATAATAATTTATCCACTGTGGTTACTACCAGAGCTGGTGAGTGGATACATTTTTCTAACTATTCGCACAGTCCTGTTTGAAGACCCTACGTATTAACAGCAAATACGATAAAGGCTATAGTGCCGGAAATTCCTTCGAAAGCCATTGAAAGTAGTTGTGAGAGTCGACAGTGGCACCTCCATGCAGCCTACGGAAGTAAACGATAAAATCCGTTTTGTAAGCCCCACTTTGTTTTCCCAAACGTTGAAACAATTCATTACGTTAGTGCGCTTCAACCACGGAATTCATTGATCACAACTACAGTGACAGCGAAATTATAGGGTCACAAAAGCACACATTTGTTTGGGTGTCATGCCATCAGCATGCTTATCTTACGTTATCCAGGGGATTACACACGTTTGGGAAGTCTCTTTCAAGAGACTTCCCGAACGTTTCCCTGGGGGATGGATTTCCCGCAGCTATTCAGAACGCAACATTGTTGGCGCGAACCAGCGATCGCCGGTTTTTCTATGAGAAACCAAAGGATCTCTGCAAAGTTCTAATTGCTGGGGAAAAAGCTCATTCGGGTGTATAATGCAGGTGATAAAAGTTCGTGCTCACTAATACTCTTTCGAAGTAAATGCGAAAAAGTGCCAATGTCGTGTTCGCGCTAGCAATGTGTACTGTGGCGTCCTGCCCGAAGATGCGCGTCTCGGGCGAAGCATTTGGCAACGAATTAGTGCGATAAATAATATGTGAAACAGTAGAAATAAAGTGTACCGTAAAGAATTAGCCAAACAATACGAAAGAATCGAACCCGTGCGGAACGCCAAGCCAGCCAAGCGCTACCGCTGCCTGCGCTCCGCACTCCGGCAGCACGCCTACTACACGTTGCGCCCTCTCGCGGCCACCGATCCGGTCATCGCTGAAAGAGCCCCCCCTCCGCCGGCGCTCGCTACACTGCCCAGTCTTCTAGTACACCATAACTTTGTGGACAGTGTGGCCAGACCTTGATACAAGCATGTCTAGGTTTGGCGAATTTCTTTTTTTATGCAAAGGGTTATTTTATTGTGTGAACAGCTGCAATTAAAAGAAACTAATTCTATTCACTGAAGAAGTTAATAACTTGATTTTTAGTACTGTATTGACTGAAATAGCCGATCAGCGCTGCACTTAATTCATCTCTTAGCCATTACCATCCAATCCGAAGCCAACTGGTCAGCCTGTCGCGCATGCGCACACGAGTCGAACCTCAATACAAGGTTCGACGAACTTTCCACTAAAAGTTCGAAAAAGTCGAACCTGGTCGAACTCGAACCGCGGCCGGTTCGCGACACCCCTACTCAAAATTTTAGAAAAGACTGGAGGTTCCTGGTGATAGCAGACGAGCCAGGTGCCGCTATTTCGAAACAGAACTATCTGCGAAGAATGCGGATTTGGTCGCGCAAGCTGCAACGAAGAAGCATGCTTCGGCCACTGCACCTTTCTCCTCTGGTAGCAGACGACTCTACGAGTTGAACGGGTGACGCATTGCTGAAGGGTCCCTTGCCATGTTCGTATGTGTTCACTCTGCAATTTTGGCTTCGTATCACCTGGGTAGAGATCAGTGACCTGGGCGACCTGGGTGAACTGTGGCGTGGCGTGACAGATTTCTAGTCAAAACAAAAGGAAAGCTTCCTTTCAGATGCCATTGATATGATCTTTACTGTTATTATACCTCTGTCAAGAATTAAAACAAAAAAAAAAAAGTCTAAAAAATTGTTTTGCGCTGTGTTTTGAATTTAGCGGTTTTTTAGCGGTTATCGGGATTCTGACTGCGGGTTTTCAATTTTTGAGTTGGCAACACTGACCGGAACGTTATTCTCGCTCTCCCCCCCACCCCCGTTGACCCTCCACCCTGCATGCGCCCGCACAATATTCCCGAACGACGGTGACCACGGCGAAACACATGTACGACGAAACCGTCCGATCCGACGTGCGGACTGCCGGAATGACCTTGGGGGGAGAGGGTTTTCGTAGCATCGGAGAGCGTTGAAAACCCTCGCCTTCGACCGTCGTATTGCGCGGTCGGACGTCGGATCGGACGGTTTCGTCGTACATGTGTTTCGCGCAGCTGGAGCTGATCGCCAGCGGTTCGCAGTCAAAATGAACAGCTTCCAACATCTCTTGATAGCAATCACTCTCATCGCTGATGCGATCAATGTCGAACACTTTGACAAGGCGAGCGATGCCGTAGACGTAATCGTCACGGAACGCAAGCTCGAAACGTGGAAGGTAAACGAGGAACCTGAGGTTCGAGACGCCAAGAGAGCCAAGTCTGAGTGCGTGCAACGAGATACCGCGCTGGAGGCTGGCTACGTAGCAAGCCTCTAGGGGCCCGCATATAAGTCGATTTATCCACGAAACTATCGCGCCATTTTTATTACAAATTTAGTAGAAGTATAAGAATATACAGTGGATTCTAGCAGTATAGTTATCTCATATTTTATTTTTGGCGTGTCATAGTCCACTCTCTGTGTGTAATCTTTGGTCGACGTGTCGATCGAAACCGAAACCATGCCACCCTCCACCGTGGCCAACTAGATCCCAGAGTGCAACGCGCGCCGTGTTGCATGCAGGGCTCACTGCGGAAAGCTACCGTCGCTTGTGCAGGAGATCGGAGGCGCGGATGTGGCGTAGCAGAGAACATGCCGACGTTCAATCGTGTCGCCTGTTTCTCTCTATGCCCTCGGTGGAACATGGTAGCCGATGAAAACGTCGCCCCCACCGTGGTCGCCCCCTCGCAGCCGTAGCTGCTCGTTGTTGCTGGTCCGACTTCGAGGTGTCCGGACCGGGTGCGCCGGTCGCGTAGCACTCCACGAGCGCAGCAGACGCGAGCTAGGCGATCGTTCTCCGTGTCGTCTGCTTTCCGGTTTGGAATCGTGTTTTAAAACATTGCTCGCGTTATAAAACTACGCGATTATACTGTACCTGGTGGATACACAACGTTCAATGGTCAAAGAACCTTGCAGTTCGTTAGATTTTAGTGTAGGGCGTGTATTTCGCAGCAGTTCGTTAGATTTTAGCGCAAAGCGAGAAATACGATTCGTCTCAAACTGCGCGTGCAAGGTCGCTTTCCCTCTAAAGGTCGGATCCAGCAAGGAAAAGAAACGCAATACCAGCGATACTCTATGTAGGTACCAGCAGAGCCTCTGTGTGCCGGTAAAGGCCCCCCTCCGAATACACGGCCCGGTACGGGTGCCGTCGACGTGCTCGGATACCGAAACAAGCCAACGAAGCGACCAAGCCATATGACCGAGCCAGACCAAGCCACCAAGCCAGTCGTACGTGTAGTGTGTAGTAGCCGAACTGGCCGAACCGCCGAACGCTGGTCCGCTGGTCCGCTGGTCGAACAAATGCTTCTTTCGCGTCATAACAAGCTGCGTAAAGGTGAGACAGATGAGTGATTTGCACGCAAGATTCCAAGCTCGACATAATCGAAGACGTCAACGAACCGATGTCCTCTTGCCGATCTGCTTGGAAAATTTCTAGGCATGACTGAACGGGCGTTCGAAAACAACTTCTCCGACTACGACGGCAGCTCGGACGTTTTTCTGCCGGACGGAGAGGTGCGTCCACATTTCTGCATTCCCTTCAAGCTAGGGTGACCAGACGTCCCGTTTTTGGACAGGACAGTCCCGTATTAAAACAATGAAACAGTGTGTAAAACTAACGACGAAAGTTACTTGTCCGACTCCGGAACAGTGTGCTCATAGTTCACTTTTGTACCCCCCCCCCCCCCCCCCCCCCCCTTTTAAAGGCCGACGTACAACCTCGGTTTCCTGCAGGGAAGATAATCCTCTTAAGATTTCCCCTTTTCTAAGCTGCGAGGGGAGCTAAGTTGGGGCAAGGTAAAAAGTGGAGAAAATTAGTAAAGGAGGAGGCGAGCAAAACTGGAAAGCGCGATGTGTGTATCGGCCTTTAAACCAGAGCCTCCCGTTTTTTACCCTAAGGAATATGGTCACCTGACTTCAAACGCGCTGCCAAAACGCCGGAAACCGAAACTATCGCGGCCGATTTGTTTCAGTTCACGAACAAGTTGGAGCAGGAGAGGCGCGTCCTGGAGCTGGCGGGAGTGCTGGAGAAGGACCTTGTCAAGCGCACCAACCGGAATGACCTTTCGGTGTACACCGGCACCAAAGGTGTGGATTAAGGGTTATCGAGCATTAGTTCGCAGTTTCTTGTATTACCAGGAGTGGATGCAGGTGCTCTCAGAGGGAGGGAGGGAAAAGGGGGACGGGGAGGGAGGAGGGGTTAGCGTGTCAGGTGTATGGGAAAACATGCCTTCCCGCCCTAAGTTTTGGCAGATTTATTTATTTGAAGTTACCCCGCATCGCCAGAGGAATAGCAAGGGGGGTACATTTTTGCGAAAACAGAAGTACAGTTCACATGTATCAAAACAGAAGAAGAAAGACCACAAGCACTCAGTTAAAAACTGGACAGATGTGGAATTCAAGGGGGGGGGGGGGGGGGGGGAGAAGAGAGGAGGAGGAGGAGGAGGAGAGAAGAAGAAAAAATCACGCCCCTCCCCACTTTCCTCTAAATCCACCACTGTTACTATGGCACACGCTGCACGTTCCTAGCCACCCAAAGTGCAATAAATATCAGTATTGCACATTAAATCAAAAGGCCAGATTGACCGTTCCAATCAATGGCAGTACGTGAAAAAAAAAAAAAGGAGTTTTGAAATATGACGGTTTTTGACATCAGGAGTCTTACATCGAGATTATGGCCAGTACGATAATGGCGGCATTCTCGAGGATTTATGTACTCCAGCCCGTGTCTGAGACACGGGCTGGAGGAAAATTTGTGAAGAAGAGATAGCCTTGCAAGTTTGCAACATTGGGAGAGGAGTGGGAGCCTGACAGGGGTTCGAAGAGATGTGATGGTTGTAAAAGAAGAACAATCCGGATAAATAAAATTAAACACTCAATGCTGAGCCGTTTTAATGTTATTCATGAGGTAGGCTTGATGGAGGTACGTACCAGATGGCAGATCCGTATTCAAGTCTTGGGTGGATAAAGGATGAGTAAGCAAGCATTTTTAAATGAGGAGTGGTCCTTTTCAAGTTGCGCTTCAAATCACCTAAAGAGCAACTAACAGGGGAGATGTATGACTGATATGAGTGACTCAGAAAAAATCAAATGAAAGCAAGATATTTATAAAATTAATGTTTTACAAGTTAACGCTGTTCAGTGAATAGAAGAAATTTGAAGGTTTAGAGCCACAAGTAAAGGACAGTCTTGCACTTTTGGACGTTGAGGGACATCTGCCATGTTCCACACCGTGCTAGGATGTGGATGAGGTCATCTTGGATAATCGGTGATCTGATGGATTAGTCACTTATGATACGCTCCATTACTTTGCACAAGCCAATTGTTAGGGAGATGGGACGAAAGTTCCAAGGGGAGTACTTGTTGCCATTCTTCAAAATTGGGACAATCTTCCTCACCTTAAAGTCCGACCTACAGAATCGTCTTCTACCAGGGAAAAAACCGGTTCCCAGTTTCCTTCTCTCCATTTCCACTCGCCCACGTTTCCCCTCCTCTCCACACAGGAGCGGATCTCTGAACTACTCCCAGTAGAGAGGAGGAGGGTCTCCCTCTTTCTCAAATGGAATTGAGGGAAAGTTTGCTTCTTTCTGCTTGTTGGTCGGCCTTTAACCGTTCACACATTTGTGACTTCTGAAGACCGAGTGCCTTGGGCAATGCAATCCAATTTACGCGTCTACCTTTTTTTAGGTTTCCACGTCTCTTGTAATTCGGGCAACGCTGCGGGCACAGAGGGAGTAACTGAATATCAGTGCGTCATATTTTATCCGGACGACTTGGAAACCTCTTCCCCCTTTGGAAGAGCTGCCCCATGGTGTCGAACGCGCAGAGCATGGAACGAAATCGTGACGTTTTTGGTTCTTAAAGGGGCAGTGCAACGATTTTCAGACTTTGGCCAATTAATTGCGGAAATTAATCTGCGCAACCTATGAAACGAAAAACCGAAAGCCGCATTTTCTTGCGAGCACTAGTTCTTATTTTAAAAAAATGAAACAAATTGAAGGTCGAAGTGCCTCTCAACTCTCCACGCCGACTTTCGAGTGACGTGTCTGGGGGTTCACGTGGTTTCCCCTTGGGCCCTCTCTTCAGAGACTCCAGCCGCTTCCTCCGCGATTGTCGACTTTCAAAGGATTAGCCTCGTGAAGGTCGCGGCGAGCAATAAACACAAAGGACGGTTCGTGACGGGGCTGACGGCGAGTGTTGCAGCGGAGGGGGACAGGGTTTGTTGACTTCCACGTATCCCCCAGAGACGCCGTCATTTTAGTTCCCGTAGCCACCACCGCCGGCTGCAGATGGGCAAATAATTAGTTTTTTCCCTTGCGATTACGCAACAGAATAGCCGCTTTTTGGGAAAAGTGACTCGTTTTTGGTCACTTGGGCTTGTATGAACAATATGAAAAATGCAAACTGCCAATTCTTTCAACATTAAAACCGTTGCACTGCTCCTTTAACGTCAGCCGAGGGGAGAAAGCTGTTCCGTTCCCGGGTAGCTCCGCCAATGCTGGAAACTCTTCCGAAAACCTATGGGAGTGGCGGCGAACGTGACAGTGGCGCCTCTAGCGGACTCGGAGTCTACAAAAGCAGGCGATGCAATGGAAAAGTATAGGCTCCACGACGTCCTCAAGCTTTGCGTGCCCCGTTTAGTCACTACGGTCAGTCCGCTTGCAAAGCGGAATCCGCTGATCGCAACTACAGCGACAAATAGATAACAACGCCTGCAGAAACGAAGATAGAGCAGTTTATTTAGCAGTCTCAAACGCCACTCAATGTATGAAACGCATTTGAAGCGCATCTGGGAAGCAAAACAAAAAAAAGTGTTTAGCTACTCGATTTATGTTGTAAGAGGTTACTGTTTATACGTTACAAACTGCATTGTCACAATTTCTTACCTGAATAGGTGGTTATTAAAACTGCTCAAACAACATGTTAAACTTACCAGAGCAAGCGCACCAGCCTCTGCGGCATTACAAAAACAAAAAGTAATGAGAAAAATGACCCTGCAAACACTTTCAGAACTTTGCAGAAAAGTTGGAGTCCTTATCCCAGACGAAAATAAAAAGAAATGGGGGAACAGTCGCGAACAACGGCAAATGAAACAAAAAAGTTAGCAGACGATACAAAGATACAAATAACCCAGCAAAGACCTCCTTCCACAACGACGATCGCACGTGGCATTGGTAGGAGCATTGAAAATTAGCAGGTGGTGCTCGCCGTAGGTGTTGGGGCAGCAACAAACAAAGCGAAAGCAATGAAAAAACTATTAAAAAAGAAAAAAAAGTGCTCTTTTTTTTTCTTCTTTTTTTTTTTCACTTGCGCATTATTTGCTTGTTTATTTTCTTTCGCGGGCGGTGTTGTTAGGAAGTAAGAACAAAATAGGGGAAAGGAATAGCGTAGTTTAGCTCACACTGCATCTGGCCTGTCGTCCGTAAAGTTTTCAGCGATCTCCGTGGAGTTGTCATAATCGTCTGTTGAGGCGTCAGTTCGCATATTTTCCTGCAAGGAAAATATGCGAACTTCAAGTAAACACAGGAAAGAAAAAAGCAAACAAAAAACATAAACGCAGGAGGAAGAAAGATCGCGGTGGTGTGGCATCGCCTCAAGCATAAAAAGAAAGTAGACTTTGAAAAATGGTAGGAGGTGCACAACCATCCAACAAGTGCTTTTTTTTTTCTTTTTTATTAGTTTCAGTAATAGCGTTAGATTTGCTTGTGCACAGTCGACTTCTTCCAGAGCATACTAATATTGCAGTAAGGTACGTAGTTCGAAATTGCCTTTTGCTCCTCATCCGGAGACGATCGGGATTAGCCAGCTCGACTATTGGACGAAACGGTTTTAAGCAATACATTCATGAGAAATTGCAATTGCAACAACAAAACGAATTGATTGATAAGAACAGTAAAGTTGAGAGGTAGCTATGTTCTGAAATTTTTTTACATTGCCCTTTTTCAAGAAACAGGGCAAAGGTACCTTCGTGTTTTGCCCGACTTACGTAAGTTCTGACAGAGTGTTTTCTTCAGGAGAGCCCGAAAATTGCGCCCTACAAGCTGAACATTCAAAACGGTGAATACCCGTGACACTTCTTTTTCTATTTGTCCTCTCGCACGGAGATGGGCAAAACCAATCTGTTGTGGAGAAGACTCCGAGCTCGGCAGGGGTGCTGCGATCACTTTTCGCCCGTGATCCGCGGGAGTTGCCAGTATTGGCTTACATGGTATTTGTCCTCGGCCTCACCTCCTTTCTCCATCTTCCCCTCCCCCCCACATTCCTTAGTCACCGCGGCAAGGGGAACCCTCCGGCGAGGGAAAAGGGGGGACAGAGGACCAAGGACGTCATGAAGGAGGTTATTTTGTGCCTGTTTTTGTAATTTTAATATATGTTTATAACTTTTAAAATAAAGCGAATTTCGTGAAAATAAAAAGTTCACTTAAGTTACTACGTTCAGTGCGCTCAGGTTCAGTGCAAATTAAAAAACCGCAAAAATTCGTTGCAGGGCTCCTTTAATATCTCTTACAACGAGAGGACACACTGGCGCCGCCTATGGGGTAGCAGTGGAAACATGGCGGTCCCACATATTTTCTATTTCTCTTGCGCATCATTCTTTCTTTCTTGGATCGAAAAACTTTTGTCAACGTTATAAACAACCATTTCTTATAGATATTATGCACATTTGACCTCTGATATTCCGCAAAACCTTTGCTATTGTGAAATGCAGTTCCAAGGTCACTGCATGCCGTAGATAGCACCAGCGTGCCAGTCTGTTCTCTCATTCTAAGAAATTTTAAGATCTTTCAAGGCACTTGGTTTTAAGGAGTCGCAAGTGTATGAATGGGCCTTAGCAGTCATAAGGCAGAACTCTTGAGCAGAAACTAAAAAAATCCACAGGCAAAACGAAGACTGTCGGAAGCAATACACGGTCGGTCTCACCCTTGCTGCGGCCCCTCTGTATAAACAAACACCTTGTGTTTCATGATTGCACAAACACGGCCAGCGGTCTTAACTTGTGTCTCCACTTGGCTTGGCTCGGCTTGAACTGGCCAGTGTACCTCACTTTGGTGTGGCGCGTTGTGCCGGCCACATGCATTGTACAAACATGATGGTGACAGAATGTTTTCAATGTTTCCTATACATGAAGTCATCTCTGTTACGTCACGGCGCGGTGGTAGCGCGTCGGTTGCACTTCCGGTCTGGTTCTGTGGGCAGAAGTCCCCATGCCAGACGTGTATTCCTGCGTTGTCTTGAAAGGAACCAGACAAAAACCTGCCTTCTCGTCAAAACGCCGCAGCTGGGGCCGTACCAAAAGTGTCGAGAAAGGTTTGAATGTCAGTTTTCACGTGCTCGGCTTGTCCGAGAATCTCAATATGTTCCGTGAAAAGGGAAAAGCAGACGCCGTCGGACTACGATTGCTTGGGCGGGAAGCACTTTGGTTTGAATTCACGGATACTTGTGGTCATGAGATTTATTTGTTTTGTTCCAACATGAACGCCATAAAACCGTCAAGTTGTGCGAACCACGTGCGGACTACGTTCAGTGCGTCTTCAATTTCAAACGGTGGCCGGATCGTTCGAACTGTCGTCTGCTCTTTCAAACGTTTCTGCTTGTCGTCTGCTTTCTTAGACGACGACGGCCTGTAGACCAAATGTTGGCGCAGTACTTGCGGTAAGAAGTAAGTGCAGGCCTCAAAAGACTAAAGTTTGAAGGTTGGTAAGCAGGCTCGATGTAAACAGTAGATACAAGGAGATGTTGATCATTGTTACCAGTGACCATCACAGAGTTGTTATGCCTACTTCACTTGGTCCGATTTGGCTTGCGATTTTCAGTATCAACTTCGACCATCTCAGCTACGGTTCACACTTTTGCGGCCCGAGCGGCGTCGTGACTGAAAATTGAGAACGAAATCTCATCATACGAATTAGGCTGTAGCGTACATACGGCGGTGTCCATGCGGAATCAATCGCCACATGTCATATTATTCACGCAAAGTTTTGCGGTGTAACGAGCCTCAATAATTTCGCTGACGCCGCTCAAGTAGTCAGACATTGCCCAGGAAGACGTAGAATCAACAATTCAAACGTGAAATAGGGCAGGGGGACTCACACCGACGCCGACAGCGTCGCATTCCAATGGTTTATGGGCGACGGCGAGCTTCTTGCCCACACCCCCATCGCGCATGCGCGGCGCCGGTGGCGTCCGCTAGGGGCGCTCCAGTTTGTTTGTAAACATGAGTTGGTGTATTCCTGCCTAGTAACTTTGCTCCCCACACCCCTTTTTTTTTTTTGCACTTAATCTTCTGCATTCAGTCGGAGGGCAGGCTTTCTCCCTGCTCAAGTGCCTCATGGCCGAGCTCAATTCTGAATATAACGCGAGGTATGTTTCGGAGCACATAATTTCGAGAAAAAAAAAACTTGCGTAATACTCATGCAAGTACGGTACTTCAGTGTTCATATGTAAGCTGTCAGTGGTACACCTTTCCAATCCACTCGCAGACAGGCAAAGAAAGGCACAAAGAATGTGAAGATACTTTGTGCCGGACAGTGCCAATTCAAAGTGCTCCTTGTTCTTGTCTAACCCCATTCAAAGTGAAAACTACCGTGTGTTCGTTGAGCCTGTGTGAAGAAGCAGCAAGGGGGGGGGGGGGGGGGGGGGTATTTTTCTGATATCGGGCCGGGGGCTGCATGGAACTGCTTCGCATGGGGGCTGCACATTGCCGACCCCTGCCTTAGTGTAACACACAATAGGTTTCATTTTATAAATTCTGTGTCGCAATAATGTCGAAAAAGGGAAAGTCGGTCTATTTTGTCTTTTATAATAGAGATGGTCATGTTTGCTTGCGTAGGTGAGGGAGATACATGCCCGAAGGAGATCAGCTGCCTATCAGAGCCCACGACAGGCATTCTCTTCAATTGCTGTTTCTGCACCCATGTCACCAGGGATCAGCGTGGAATCCTCACTCATCTGGTTGACCACGGTGATGAACAACTCAAGTGCCAGTACTGCTTCGAGTTTTTTTCCAAGGAAGAAGATTTGAGATGCCACGCTGAGATTCACAAGCCAGAAAGAAATTTTGGGTGTCAACTAGGCCCAGCAGCATTCTGGAAAAATAGTCCATTGGTCAATCGCATTCAAGCCCACACTGGTAAAAAACCTCCCAAATGCCAGGAATGCCTGCAAACTCTTTCTCTGTGTAATTGCCTGAGGTCTCATATACAAGACCAGACGAGCAAAAAACTTTTCAAATGTGAGCTATGTCCCCAGGCCTTTAGGGACAACGCAAAGCTGACCCGCCACAGTCGGACACACACAGGCGAGAGACCTTACAAATGCGAGCAGTGTCCCCTAGCTTTTAGCGACACTCAGAAGCTGACTTGCCACATTCGAAGTCACACCGGTGAGAGGCCTTACAAATGCGAGATATGTACCCAAGCCTTTAGCCATAGAGGAAATCTGACACGACACATTAGAACGCACACAGGCAAGAGACCTTGCAGATGCAAGCAGTGTCCCCAAGCCCTTAGTCGGAGCCTGAAGCTGACCAGCCACGTTCAAACGCACACGGACGAGAGACATTACAAATGCGAACGATGTCCACAAGCATTTAATAGGCTTGGAAACCTGATCCGTCACATTCGAAAACACACAGGCGAAAAACCTTACAAGTGTGGGCTATGTCTCCAAGCCTTTAGTGAGAATGCCAAGCTGACCCGCCACATTCGAACGCACACTGGTGAGAGACCTTACAAATGCGAGCAGTGTCCCCTAGCCTTTAGTGACAGCCAGAAGCTGACTCGCCACATTCGAACTCACACAGGTGAGAGACCTTACAAGTGTGAGCTATGTCCCCAAGCCTTTATCTCTAGAGAAGATCTGAAACTACACATTCGAACGCACACAGGCGAAAGACCTTACAAATGCAAGCAGTGTCCTCAAGCCTTTAGCCGGAGCCTGAGGCTGACCATCCACCTTCGAATGCACACAGGCGAAAAACCTTACAAATGCGAACAATGTCCGCAAGCATTTTGTGCGCGTGGGAGCCTGGTCCGCCACATTCGAAAACACACGGGTGAAAGACCTTACAAATGTGAGCTATGTCCCCAAGCCTTTAGTGAGAATTCAAAGCTGACCCGCCACATTCGAACGCACACTGGCGAGAGACCTTACAAATGCGAGCAGTGTCTCCAAGCCTTTAGTGACAGCCAGAAGCTTATCCGCCACATTCGAAGTCACACAGGCGAGAGACCTTACAAATGTGACCTATGTCCCCAAGCCTTTAGCCGTAGAGAAAATCTGACACTGCATATTCGAACGCACGCAGGCGAAGGACCTTACAAATGCAAGCAGTGTCCCCAGGCCTTTAGTGAGAAGCTGAAGCTGACCCGCCACATCCAAACGCACATGGGCGAAGATCTCACAAATGTGAGCAGTGTCTCAAAGCCTTTAGTCAAAGTGAAAAGGTGACCTGCCATTTTCGAATGCACAATACTGAAAGAGAAGTTCAAGCAATGCTTCACGTCTCGTGCGTGTAAGAACTTGACACTATGCATTCAAATGCAGGAGACACTAGAAATGGTATGTCCTATGACTTGTCCAGGTCTGCTGGGCCGAGCAGAATTTTTACAAGAAATTGGCCGTGGAATTTGCAAATAGCAGCAGTCCGAGTTTCGCTCCGAGTCTGGTCAGCCATACGAACACAGACAATTGCTTGCCTTTGTTGGCAGTTTGCACAAGGCTTTCTTTACATAACATATACGATTGGGCCAATTGGTTCATCATTTGAAGTAAAAAGAGCACAGACACGGACAGCCAAAGAGGACAAACAGCACTGGTGTTTGTCGCCTTTTACTCTTTTAGTGTCTTCGCACTGTTTGTGCTTTCTTTACAGTGCTGCTTCCTAGCCACTAGAAGTTGTGTGAGGAGAGGAGGTGGATTTATAGTAATGCATTACCTTTAAAGGGATACTTCAACGAAATTTGAAATATTCCCGTCGTGTTCAAAAATAGGTTGAGTATGATCCACAATATCCGTAAATGACAATCGCAGATTTGTATTTTGAGCCTGGGGGCTGTATTTTTAGTTATTATTGGCCCACTCTGGCAAATGCTCGGAGAAGGCCCAGCGGAGACCACGTGACATCCAATGCAATCGTGACGTAGGTCGTCTCAAGACGAGCAAAGCTATGGCGAGGCTGACGTCGAGAGGATGGCCTAGTCGTTCCAGCCACCGAAGCGGCTGCTTTTGTATGAGTTTTGAGTGACGGGTTAATCTTCTGTAATCTTGTAGGGGGACAATAGCGACTTCTGCGACACACGAAAGGCATTCTCGGGAAGAGGGGAGTTCCTCCTGCCCCTCTTCTCTCGTCGTGGCCGGAGACGAGACAACCTCTGTCACTAGCTGTCAAGGTTCCTAGATGGGCATTACAAGCGAGGCGTTAGTGACATCCACCAGGTGCTCTTTGCTAATCGTTTAATTTGTTTTAAAATTCCTTTTTGTGACTTTTTTAACAAGATATTGGTATGTTCGATGTGATGCTGCTTTTTTTAACATTTTGAACGAAGATTCGAAAAAATGAGCGGCGAAATTTCGTTGTAGTATCCCTTAATAATAATGCAAATGGAAAACAGCCTTCACTAACCACCTCAGCCTGATACATCTCGGTGGCCCCTATCTAGAAAGGGACTAGACCTGCCTGAATACTTAGTGTTCAAAGCATTTGTGTGGGAGTTGCCTCAGGAATGAAAACTGTAAAGACAATTTTATGTAACTTTGTCAGTTTCAATTATATGCAGACTTTTTGCATTGAAGAACGTACAGTCATGACTCGTTAATATGAACACCTCTGTTTGTCCAAAAGTTGTCCAGAATGTGAGTCGTCCATAATAACAAGACAAAATTTTATGTATTTGCCCAGTGTGTCCTTGAAAATGGTGTCCATATTAAATTGATGCTGAAGCGGTTCTGTATTTGAGGAAGAACATGTAAAGCAGGGTTCTCAAACACGTGGCCTGCGGGCCGTATGCAGCCCGCGACTCGCTGGGACGCGGCCCGCAAGAAACCGGCTACGAGTCCCAGTTCCCATGTCTCAAGTGCTAGAAATGGCATGTGCCATAGTGATCTGATCTCGTCGATTACTTTTCGCTCGCTTTTAACGTGTTCACATAGTTTATTCTTATATGCGTTCATTGGCCCTTTGTTTCGATTTATTTTTTGCTTCCCAGCTTTTTGTAATGCACAAAAATTCCGCTACTATAGTCCGTTGCAACCTAAGAACGAAGGGCGAGGGTAAGACGGGCCGGGGAGCGTATTGTGAGACCCCCCACGGCAAAGCCCCGCGAGAGAGAAAAGAAGGAGGGAGAGGAGGAAAGGAAGGAGGGAAGAATACCGCGATTGGCTGGCGCAGTCACGTGGTACGCGCGCGCTACGGGCTGTTCTAAGCTGCGTGCAGCCCCCCTCCCCCCCGCTACCGCCGACGCGAGCAGACGCCCTGCCGTTTTGTTTTGGAGTACTCCACGCCCCAGTCGAAAAAGTGCATTGGTGCAGTCCTAGATATTGGAAGGTATCGTTAGTGTGAAACTGGATAACATACGCGCACAGGTCTCAATGCTGACTGGGCAGCTACGCTACGGCCGTTTTATGCTTTCTGCCGTAACGTTCGCGTACTCCAGGGCGGAAGGGTGTGTTTGGGCCTAAGGACCCGTGACCGCTGCCAGCGTTCCGAAGTCATTTACGGCCTGGAAATAAACCCAGCTCGTTTGGCTTTCGCTAAAACGTCCAGTGTAGCTAATGTTTTATTTCATTCGAACGACGCGCCGCTGCGGTGTTGTGTAGTCTGCCCTACAGCGATGCCCAACTCGCCGCTTGGCAGCATTATTCACGGGTGTAACATCATTCGCCCGTTGCTGGCCTCAACAGGAATCGCGCCAGGTACGTATGAGACGCCAACGGAGCACAAGCGGTGATCTGGACCGCGAGTGCACGTCTGAATTGTGCTTTGCATATACACTGTCACGCCTCTGCAAGAATCAATCGCGCTCCCCGCAGCTAGTCGAAATGGAGAAGTGCATTGTCAAGCCTGTAACCCTGCGGCGAAATTGATCTATACCCGATGTCAGCTTTTTTGTGCTCCACTGGAAACGGTACTAAAGCGTGAACGCAGCTGCTTCGACCAGTGCTTTTTTTTTTTTTGCGCGATCACTCGAGGGGCTGAAGCATGTCCGCGGGCAGCGTGCACGCACTCGTACACCCACAGTGGAGTGACGCGAAGTGACGTAGCGATTGTTACAAATTTAGCGAAGGAAGCGGGCAGTGAGAAAATATTCCACAAGCCGACTGGCCATCTACTGTCATCGTCCTCACCTGCAGCGACGACTGGGCACGTGTGTGAACGAATTGGTTGATGTCAAGGGTCGTCCCCGCTGTGCTTACCAATTAGCCTCTGCAATGTGATATGCCCACATGCCCACTGTTATGCGTACGCATGCTGCAGACAGCAGGTGTCAGATTTGTCCTAGCTATGCTTACCTCAGAATATCTTCAAAGGATTGTATTCACACATGTCCGCAAGCCTCGGATAGTTTTGCCCGAGTGACTTGGAGCCTGTGCTCGACACAGTGGGGCTATGTTGCACGTTTTGGACTCCCAGAAGACTAGGGAGAAGGAAGTGACGTAGGTGTGAATGAACGTGTCTTGGCAACTTCTGCAGATACTGTCATCAGCGACTACACCAATCAACATCCAGCGAGCATCGTTGACGTCACTTCCTTCTCCCTAGTCTCCTGGGAGTCCAAAACGTGCAACATAGCCCCCCGGTGCGAGGGCTGGCTTTGCCTGCCTGACCTCCATCTTTCTTTGCGACTACAAAAAGCTGGCCAAACTGGCACCTGGCATTGGTGAATAGGTAGTCTAGACATAAAGGGAAACCGAGGTCAGCCAGCGTGAACTTTGCTTCAGCAACAGGGTTTCAAAATGCAGCCGCAAAAAGATGCACTACATGTTGGGCACATTGCCATTGACGTTTCTGTTTCCAGCAGCTACAAAAATAAGCACTCTCATCTCAGTTTGTCCTCTTTTCCAAACTTGGTGATGTTAACCACTTGCGAGGTTCCATCAACCCAAATTTCCACTACAGAATACTGACACTTCTGGCTGCATGACCTCCACTGGGCCATGTGCAGTCAAATCATGGAATGCCTAATTTTTCTGAAACCAGTAGGGAAAATATACGAGGCAAGACATTCTCAGATGATCAGCATGGTCGACTATATATGCAGCAGACTCGACAACAAAACTCCCTGCACACAACTTTAGAAATCCATCCATTTATTTCAGGCACATTGCACTTGCGAGCAGGCAAGCACGAAAGCAAGTTTACATCACGAGCACTGGCAGTGCAACACAAGGCGCGCAAATACGCCCAACAAAAAATATGAAGCATAACGAAGAACTGTGGGCTAGTACTGTAGAAAGTTGTTAAAGATTGGTACACAACCTGTCTGCAAGGGAAGCTTGAGAAGTAGTGAGCCTATTTTTGATGGGACTGTCACATGCAAATGGCCCTTTATTATTTCTCTGCAAAGTCTCCTTTGAGTGTTATGCACTTCTAGTGGAGCCCACCCACTGAGAAAAAAGTAATTTCTCTTGGTCCTCACACCACTCACGTGCAGCGTCTATGACGGCTTCCTTGCTGGAGCGGCTGTCTTTACAGATCTTGTTTGAGCGCAGGGAATAGATGAAAGTCCGATGGTGCCAGATCCAGTGAGTAGGGTGCCAAGGCATAAGAGTTCTAAGTCACATTCATGGAACTGCGGGGCAGGTAGTGAGACAAGCTGGAATGTCTTGGAGGAAAGTCACATCGCCCAAGTTTTCTGTGATGTTTCTCGACAATGGTGGCTCACAATTTTACAACATGCCAAGCTCGATGGATTGCTGTTAAAATGATGTGGGAAAAGTAAAACTACACACTGGCATGGTTCTTTTCTAATGTGCTTGCTTATTTTTAAGCAGGCTCACTACTTGTCAAACATTGCACATATGAATCCAATGAGAGGGGTAATCATTTTTAAGTAGCCATCAAAAAAGTGAACACTATTAGTGGTCCCAGTAAACAGGAATGAAGAGGAAGGAGTAGTAAACCTTAGTTTGTAGACAGCGGTCAGAGCCCCATTCCTTCCTGTGTGTGTTTGTGTATTTTGCACAAGCCAATGCATATAACAGACACGTACCAACTAGTTTAACCAATCCCCATACCTATTAGTGTAAAATAACATTGAAAGTTTAAACCATGTGTACTTGGGGTCAAGAATGATGATCGTGGTCGCTGTTCTAGTGCTTAGAGCGTCTGCCCATTCCAAGTGGCCAACCCCAAATTTTATAACATTTGAAAGAAAGAAAAAAAAATGTGCACAGTACACATATATACATGTTAATATGATGACCTAACAAGCACCCATCCCCCAATGGTTTGTGACTATCTCAAAATTTTGAGTGGGCACTTGCTCGGTAGGTAGTCTGCCACATGAAATCGAATACTTCTAGCCTCTGAATTTGGGACGAAGACCATCTGTATGCTATATAGAAGCTGCCCACCAGGAAAAAGATAGCCAGGGCTGGTCAGATATACTCGAAAACCTATTCTGGAGCACAAATACTGCAATACATGTACTGCGAGGATAAAATACAAAAACAGATACAATTGTCTTCACAAGTGCAGCAAGAAAGCATTCTACAGGGTGATACAAGGAGACGCCAGGCAGGGACGGCTCCAAGGGAAGGCGAGGGGTGGCGGGCGCCTCCCCTAAAATTTCTTCTGCCACCCCAAGTGGAAGCAGCTTTGTACACAAATAATTGCCTACGACGTCGGCTTGAAAACCCAATGTAACGAGTGTCCAGACTTTAGAGCCGTTCATGCCTTTTATTTGTTTTTTCTAGTAACTTCCAGCCACTGGAAGTCGTACCGTGGGCGAGTAAGCTATCAAGCGCTTTGGAAAAAGCAGCTCCCCTTTGTGACGCCTGCTGGCTTTTCTCTCCGCATTCCGCTCTGTTGCGCTTATCTTCAGCGGAGATCGGAGACGTGAACGAAGGGGAGCTTAGTTAAAGTCGAGGTCATGGGGAATTCCGGACTGTCTCAGAAAGGGAAGCAAAACCTGGTTGTGAGTCATGAGCACAGGGGGCAGAGGTCACTGCTGTGATAACCCCTCCCCCTCTTCCTTCTAGTGTCTCCTCCTTTCCCTTTTCAAAAAGCACATCGCATAAGCTATCTTCGATAAGCCCGTGGGCGACGGCACCTCGGAGCCCCCCCCCCCCCCCAATTTCGTTGGCCTCCCCACCGCCTCCCCATTATGAAGATCCTGGCGCCGTCCCTGACGCCAGGCTCTTTAAATCGACCGGAAAATTCGCTTTCTTAACCTATCGCTCTACGACTTTGTGCAGCGTTGCCCACGGATGGTGCATTTTTTTTGTAAAATTTGCAAAGAGCGATTTTACCTGAGGAAAAAGTAAAGAAAGAAAAAGGCTTAGCTCCTATGGAAACGCAGCGACGCCACTGGTCTGCAAACAACAGAGCGCCGTTTCGCATGGAGGTAGGAAGCTTGTGGAGGAGACACGACGCCCCCAACGATGAGCAAAAACCAAGAGACGCTTGTGGACGAAAAGGAGAGCTGGCTCAACAGCTGTCCAATAGCATCTCTTGGTTTTTGGTTATCATTGGGGGCGTGTCCCTCCACGCTTCTGGCTTCACCCCTGGTAACCTCATGTCGCCTCCAGAAGCTTCCTACTTCCATAGACAAGAAAGGACACCTTTAGAGGCTGTTGTAAAATAAAAAGAAGAGAACTTGGAGATGCCCGAGCAGGAAAGAAAGAGTGGCAAACGACTTTGAGGACGAGCCGAGACCGAGGCACCGGCCCCTTTCTAGGAAACCGCGAAGAGGGACGGGGAGCCGCAAGGAGAGCGCGCCCCACTGTGGGGTCATAAATGACGAGCCCCCCTCTTGGACCTTGCTTTGTGCGGGCCACTTCTCCCTTCTTGTTTGACCGACGGTCGAAGGTGAACGTGCCTTCGCTCGCTTTACTTGAATCAGTTTTCACTAGAAATAAACCACGTTCTGTTACACTAAAAAAACAATGAGTCCTTTCCCTAATTCCACACTGTTAAAAAGTTGGTGCCGAAACCCGGGAATGAAGGAAATTAGGACGTGACTTCCAACGCAGAACATCCAACGACAGAAAAGGGAAAAAGACGAACGAGAAGAAGGCAGG